AGTGTTGGCATGTCTTCCAGGAACAATATGTATTACAAAGTAAATTTTCCGTCTCTTAGAAAGAAAGTGAGCCCTATATCAGATGACATCACCCAAAGGTTTCCTTCTATCACATCTCAAATTGCCACAGTTGTATTGGGGCACCCCCTTGGGCTCTCTCAGATGAGCTCCTGGCCTTTCTGAAGGCACTGAACACACCAAACCTCAGAAGAACTGTGTTTCAACCCTCAGACCATGTGCCTACCTCTGCCAGTATCTTCCTTCTGACTTTCTTAGGCAGAGAAAAAATAAGAGAAGTCAGAGAGGATCAGTGCACAGACCATCCTGCTAATGTTCCTTCTCCCAGCCGTAGTCATAAGTAGGTGCTTAGAAGAAGAACAGGGCGAGCAGCTGAAACATTTCCTGCCAGCCTTCATTTGTTTGCCAGCACTTCCTGAGCCATATATGCTTTCTGCAAGTTTACTTACCTTGAAAGGCAAATTACTAGACAGTAATTACTAGAAGTGACAGGTTGGCCTTGTCTGGCTAGGTCTCCTCTTTCCATTCACTTGCCCAGTCTCTCCTTGAAACCACACAAGCACATGGTTTCACAATGTCCTGCAGCCAGAGCTTCACTACCCAATCACGTGTCGGATGAGGCTCACATCCTTCTGCTCATTTTTTCAGTCTGATTTCTTTTATTTTCATGTATTTCTTCTTTTCCAATCTGAAAATCAAGGGAAAATCTAACAATCCCCACTCACATTTTCAAGACCTGCTAGACATCTGTCACTCTCCACTCCCAACCTCATGACATGTCTTCTAGCCTGAAAAATACTATGCTTCCTATGCTTCCTACTAATAATTACTGCAAATATTTATGTGAAAAGGGCTATACACTGATTGAGGAGGTCTGACTTTGAGGTGAAACTGCTGAGGTACGTGATGGGGTGTTCAGTCTCCTGCCGCCAAGAAGCTTGAGGCCAAATGGAAGTTGGCTGTGGATCAATCATGACATTTAAGAAACCTTTTTTAGCAGTAGGGTCCCAAGACTATGGAGAATTGCAGGTGCTGGACATCTACATTGGGGTCCTGACTTCCATTTTATGGAGGAGTGGACTGGGACTGGTGGGTCTTGAAGAGTAGGGGAAGGTGCTCAGAGGAAGGGAGAGAGGGGCTGGCCTTCCCATGTTTAGGAGGTTTAGAGAAAGAATGGGAAGGTCTAGAGCTCTGTCAGAAATCTATCCTATCTGCCTTCTGTCTTTTATTGTCTGTTATAGATCAAACAGGATGTTTTCTTTCCTAGTTTGTGCTTTGAGATTTGGGTTACACTACAAAGCACTTTATACCTGACACACAAAGCTTCAGGATCTCTGAGCTCTTTGCTTAACTCCACTCCACAACTCTTACTCAAGAAAGAAAGCCCTTTGTATCCTCTGGGGGAAAAAAAAAATCTAAGAGAAACCTTCATATACTCTCAAATACTCTAAGCTGCTACAGAGTGTGCATAGCCGAATCTGGAATGCACAGGAGGAACATTATCTGAATTTCAAAGCAAAGCTACTTTGTTATCAATCTTCTGTCAAGAGCTGACAGAGCAGTTCAACATCCTTAAACCAGAAATAAACTTCCATTCTTCTGTGGCTGAAGAGGAAAACTCAAAAGCAAGACTTCTGAAGGCTCAAATCCTACAAGACAAGAAGACAGACTCCACAGGTTCCCTCTGAAAAACAAAAGAAAGAAATTTAAAAGAGCAACCAAACAACCAAAAACCACTCTCTCCCCAGACTAATGTGTTTTAGGCCAGTCTACAAAGTTGGGGATCTGATATGTGATTTTGAAATGTCTGGGAATATTTTAAGAGACTTCTGTACCATTCTGTGCAATCCTAGACCACATTGAAAAAAAGGTTATCTGGTCAGTTCACAACCAAAACCAGTGCTTCACACAACTGAGTCCTCTCTAAATATCTTTCAGGGCAGAAGGTAACAAGGAGCACCTTGGGAAACCTTGCTCAGCCTTTACTACTTGCCTAAGTTATTCTCACCTAGAAGTAAACAATGGGAAATGCTTACCCAAACCAATGTGGAGAAGGGGGGTGAGACCTTCTGTGGCCTGTAACAGGCTTTAGGACAGAACCAGCACAGTGGTTCAAGGAGAAGTCTGGTAAACAGAACTCCTGGCTTCTCTCCATAGTCAGGGAGAGAATGCATGCAATTACATTGCAATTACGTAGAAGGAATGAGTGGTAAATGATAAATCCTATTCCACAGGGTGGTAGGAGAAGAAACCAGAAATCCTGATGGCCAACAGGACAGGTCCTGTTCTCGTGGTCTCTAATTCTGTGTTGAACTCTTCAAGGGGGATACTGTCAGGAAAGGAAGCTGCCCAGGGTCTCAAATCAACCATAAATACATAGAATAATTTAGACTAGAAGGAACTTATGTAGGTCTATAGTCCAACCACAGCTCAAAGAAGGACAAATTTAGGTCAGTTTGTTTTGCGCTCTGTCCAGACAAGTTCTGAGTATCTAACACAATGGGGATCCTACTCATCCCTTTAGGGCCCTGCCCTAGTATTTGACTACTCTTGTGGTGAAATATTTTTCCTCAAATCTAGTTAGATTTTCCAAAGATCCAGTTTGTATCTGCACACCTCCTAGAAGAATTTGTCTCCTTTTTCTTTGTAACTCCTGGTAGGCAGTGGCAGACAGCAACAAATTTGTCCCTTTGCCTAGCCCAGCTCCCTCAGCCTCTGTTCTGCAGCCCCTGACCTAATGGACACCTTTGCTTTCCTCTGCACCGAAGCCTCCCATTGCACAACTTGAGGCCATTCCCTCTAGTCTTATCACTAGTTAGCTGTGAGAAGAGTCTGACCCCCAGCTCCCCACACCTTCCTTTTGGGTATTTGCAGAGAGCAATAAGGTCTCCCCTGAGCCTTCTCTTCTCTAGACTAAACAACTCCAGTTCTCTCAGCTGCTCCTCACAGGAGTTGTGCTCCAGGCCCTTCACCAGCTTCGTAGCCCTTCTCTGGACACGTTTCAGGGCCTCAATTCCCTTCTTGTAGTGAGGAGCCCAAAACTGAACTCGAGGTGCAGCCTCAGCAGGGCAGAGTACAGGGGGGCGATCACCTCCCTGGTCCTGCTGGCTGCACTGTTCCTGATACAAGCCAGGATGCCCTTGGCCTTCTTGGCCGCCTGGGTACATTGGAAACAGCCTTTAACTCAGGGAGGTGTGACCTAAAAGCTCAGACGAGCTGACTATAAGACACTCAAGTGTCTAGAAATACTCTAAGAAGCTTGTGATGAATCACCTAACACCCCTGAGTTAACAGCACTGCAAAGGATACCCTTCTCCTGGGTTGCTTTTCACAGGTTGTGGCCAAAACCTGGTCCTCTCACATTCCTTAACTAATACACCCACACATCCTGCTGTTGTCCCAGTGTAGGATGACACAGTTCTTCATTGCTTTAGTCATGGGTGTCTTTCTTGCAAAAAAGCTCTCTCTATGCTTTTCTCAGGATGAGAGTGAGCTGCAGGTAGAGCTCTGGATTTAGGGAGGAGGAGGGCAACCTCCTCTGCACCCAGCACCCTGGTGAGCATCCAGATCCTCACATGGAGCTTACATTATAGAAATCTTGTGTAAGCCTCTGAGATTTTTCATCCTGCAAATGAAGATAAAGCAATAGCCTCTTCTGCTGCCTGAATTCTGACAGCACATCTCTTCCAGTGGACTGTCTTGTTCTCTCTACCAGCCCAGATTTCCAGGAATAAGACAGCAGTGTAAAAATGATGTTGACACCCCAAAGCCTTTCCATCCCCTCCAACAGAAACATCTGAAACATCATTTCTTGCTATATCTGCTGGGCAGCTACTGCTTCTGGCAGCCTGACAGATGTGAGGCTGCTGCAGCTCCAGGTCCAGCCAGTGGTGAGGCTGAGCATCTATTCCACAGCACATGCATGTGTACAGGCACACATATGTGTATACACATAGCTTATCACACAGAGACACTCAGCACGTGTGCAAGCACAAACAGCACCAACAGTCTGGCCTCATTCTGTTCTCCTCTCCGGCTGACGAGGATGAGGATACTGGGGGAAATATATATGCATATTTATTTATAGATACAATGTGGAGCCCCAGGCAGTTTGGCATAGACATGCAGTCCATCCAGTAGCAAGTACTGGATGCTCACTCTGCCCTAATGTTTCCTAATCAACCCCTGGACCTCACAGTCTCTGCAGCAGTCGCCCAGGACCCTTTGGTCCATACAATAGCCAGGTCCTGCTGCAGTCTCCTGCCAGGAGTAGGCATTACTTGGGCTTCCCTTCCTTTCATTGCTCCTCTGTGCTTCCTTGTGGGTGTGAAGGCACAAAGCTTTTTATCACATAACCTAACACCCACACAAGGTTGAATGTTTAGCCAATTCTTCCTAAACAAGAAGTACCTCTGGTTCCTAGGCTATGTAGTCACAGGTGACTCAGATGTGCTGGTTTCTCTTGGGGACCTTTTGATTCAGGATAAACCTCAATGACACATGTCAAGTAGGTAGACCCAGCAGATACCTTTTCTGGGCTGTGTCCGGAGCTACCATCTAATGCTGTGCTTGGGAATGGAATGACTGCTGAAATCCCTGTGTGAATTTGATCAGCCTTGGGATGCTCTTTGCTCAGCTTGGGATGAACAGCAGAGACGGAAAAACACCCTGAAGTCTCCTTGCTCCTGTTATTTTGTCCTTCAGCTACTTGGCCACCTCCTGCTCAACTTTTGTCCAGCTGAGCCTGTTTTTCTATTTTTGAAAAGGCCAGAAATAAGAGAAAGTGATTATTTACCTGATTCCAGTGCTTGTGTCACATCTTGGACTGCAGCTGGGGTCATTGTTTAAATTTTTCTAGTGCCTTTCAAGTCTTGGCCTTCCAACTCTGAAAGTTATCAAGGCTTTCTCTCTTTCCCCTTAGGATGAATATAAGGACTGAGCTTGTCAGAGAATATCAGGACTCCAAGTGTATTATAACACAAATACCATTTCAACCAGGCCAGAGAGATGCTTAATTGACTATGGTCATAGTGAGAAAGCACTGAGGGAAACATCTCCCCCTCTGCTGTCCTGTTCTCCACCAGGTGGGTGCAGACACCCCACTCACATTCAGTTTCAGGTGAAGGAAAGAGGTGAGGAAACTCATTCTAATGCTAACAAAGGCAGGCATGCATTCCTGGGGAGAAAGGCCTCCAGACAGCTGTTTGTATATTCATATGGTCAAGCAGCATCCCTGCCTGGGAGTGATGGGCTCCTGAAGAGCCATGCAAACTGCCACATGATGATGTGCAGGGTCACTCTCAGCAGAGCCCATAGGAGCAGCACACCCAGTGCCAGCTCAGCTCAGGAGTGGGGGCTGGAAACAGTCACTGACTGCTAGCTTTTTATTGAAAGGAATGTTCATTTTGTTAGGATAAGCTTCTTAGCCAGATCTCTCAGTTCTTCAATATTAAATCCTTTTCCAGCACACAGTCCTCTGGGAAAAGTTATTAGTGCTTTTTTTTTTTCCCTAAGGAGAATTTGGCAGATGGCATAAAACCATTTCAGTGCCCACTTTTCCCACCTGAGGAATTTCCTTCTGAGGATTTTCCTTTTGTGCTTCATGTCTCCCTGCCTCCTCACATCAGTAACAGGCCAGTCCCATATTGCCAGACAGGGCCTGATTCTGCTGAGCTCAACAAAATCCTTATCCAAGGACACATCAGCTTCTGGATTTTCCAGTCACACCCCCTCAATCATTCCTGTAGATTGTCTGGGAACATGGATGGGAACCACTTCTCTATCCAGGCTGTGTGGACACAAAGACTAGATCAGGGCCAGGTGATTCGTTGCAGATGCACCACCACATGGCTCCTGTGTCCATGGAAATGCAGCAATTGGGAAGGCAACACCAGCCAAGGACTTCTTTCACAGGTAGGGCCTCCTCTCCTGTTGTTCACCACAGGTCATAGATGGTCACAGTTTTAAAGCAGGGGTCCTCAACATTCTGCATTTGTTTAGCATCCTCTTGCCTGGACCTGCAAGAGACCCAGGGTGTGCAAGGAAGGATGGTGAGACTCCAAAATATCATCAGATTACATTTGTTTTCTGACACAGGACCCGAGTGATGGCGTCGTTCACATTATGGCATGTCTATTTCTCATTCCGGGAAGCACAGCAAACAAATTAATTGAATTTCACTGCACCACTGCCATGTAATAAACTCATCTGATTGTTAGGCTCTCTCATAAAGACCCAGTCCCTAGAGTCAGAATATGACAGAACTAATTCAACTTTGTTAACCAAATAATATGTTTCCAATCTTTGACTAAGCAATCAGGCATGAAAACAAGGTTCCTCTGATGCCACAAATCCAGAGGAATCATGAAAGATCTCAGCTTTTCTATATTTATTATCTATTAATTTTATAACTCGTGACTGGTTAAGTTAATCCTCACTGCTCAGGGGTCTGGTGTTATTATTGGGGTTACCTGCTTAGGGAAGCTTAGGAGAGCTCAGTGCTTGTTTGGAAAGATCCCAAAGCAGACAGAAGCCAAGCTAAACAATATATGCTGACACCAAAACCTGTCCAAAGCTGTGAAATAACCTGAAGGGTCTAGCAAAAAACAGAAGCTGCAATATCTCACGAACCAAGATCCCCTGAATCAATATGTCAGGAAATATCCCAGAAATCACTGTGTACTTCAGCTTCATGTTGCTCATTATTCTTCTTCCCAAGGAGGTGCACTCATATGCATGCACAGTTGTAAAATGACAGGGAATTCCCCATCCAGAAAAAAAAAGGAAAGGATGTGAGGTCAAATTGCTGTTTCCACTGGTCTCCACAGATCCCACAGTCCTAGACCAAAATAATGTTGATTTTTTTGGCCAAAAGTTTTCCATTACAGCTATTTTAAAAGGGTACAGATACTCTTTATGAAAACATAAAAGAGAAGAGAATGGGACAGGAGAAGAAAATCACAGCTCCTGGGAGGCATTGCTTTTGTCAGAGGTCTTTGCCAAAAATACGATGCAGATTTATCCCCTTAAAAAAGAAGTACACATGCTATCTCAATAAAACATGTTAAACAGAAACTGCGCAACCAGCCCTGAAGGAACACAAACAAAACCCAGCCTTTTGAGATTTCTGTGTCTGACAGAAAGCAGCAGCATCAAAACCCTCTCCCTCCATCCCAGAACCACTCTTTGCCATGTAATATTTCTCCAGCTAAACAGCAATCCGAGAGTAGCAGAGCTTATTGTGGGCAGCATGACCTAGGAGCCACATCATGTGTTTACATCTCCTGTCCCTTGTAGGAAGCACAGAAAAAAAATGTTTTGTGAAGACAGTATGGCCTTGGTTCCCTACAATGGTGCAGAAGAGCTAAAGAGGAGAAAGGCTGGGGCCTGGCAAGAAAGCAATGTAAAATGAACACAAAATATGTCTATGCTTGCAAAGCACTCGCAGCAGGTGCTGAACTCATTGTGGAATAAATATACTGTGAGCTCTGGAGCCTGCTCCCCACACTGGCAGCAGTCTGGAGTGAGGAGGCAAGGAGGTAGGTTCAGGCAAGCTGGGACTGTGGTGGCAAGCTGGAACAAAAAGAAGGGCCAGAGAGTCTTTCCACAGCACCAAAGCAAAGGGAAGGGCTGAAGAGCAAGGTCTGCTCACATCTAGGCCTTCACTTAAATTTTCTGGTCCTCATTGCAAACGAGGATCTGTTTTTTTTGACTGTTCCCATACAAGAGGGGTTATTTCCAGGGGTCTTTGTGCCTGCTGTCCAGATTTCCATCACCTCCTGTCTAATCTCTCCACTACCCTTTGTAAGACTTCAGAGACAGTTGCAAAGGACACATCCTGCTGTCCCAGCAGTATCAGTATAGATACAGCCTTCAACACCTTTTCAGGGGTGGCTCTGGTAGATGGAAGGCAAGGATGTGGGTGGGCACCTCTGGCGTATTCTGGATGGAGAGGAGGTGCAGCATGAAATAAAGGTTTGGTAGGTAGAACAGAGTTTACCAGTGGACCTAGGCAAATGGAGAGCTGAATGTCAGCTGTTATCTGCACTCTCATGCCCTGCTGCTTGCTCCAGCATAGCTGAGTAACCTGGGGCTTGGAGAGCTTGCTAGTGGGGTCTGCAAGCCATGTGCTTACCTCTGGGCTTAGTCTCCCCACTCACAATCACTCCAGGTGTTTTGTAGCACTGAGTCACAGTAGGGTAGCACAGAGGATGTACGACCATACAGCCCTGGCTTTCAGTCCTTCTTAATTCAGCTACTACCTTTCCTGAGCCTGCATCGCAAACCAGAAGCCAGCATAGGCAGCATGGACAGAAAAGAGAGACAAGCAGCATTTTATTAATCCAGATTTGTAAGGACATGAGAGTTCAGAGCAGGAATTGTCCCTCTGCTTCTCTACTGGCCTTGTGGAGGAATAGGGTCAGAATCTGAAAATATCTGCTCACCCAGAGGGATCAGCAGAGAAACTGAAATTATTTAGCTAGCTGTCTAGGTGATGAAGGTCTGCAGAGATCAGTACTGCACTTGAAATTCTCTGTCAGCCCATCTGTGCCTCACCACAGTGGAGACCTAGAGGGATCAGCAAAGAATTCAAAATTATGTTTATTCACACTTCAGTCTATTTGCTTTTCCAGGTCTAAGAAAAAAAGCAGGCCAATAGAAACATGAAATAAATCTCTCAAACTGGAATCAGACTGCTCTTGAGGTGTATAAAACGTTACAGACTGTCAGACCATCACTGCAGTCGTTGGACACTTCACAATTTACAAGTGTGTAAATCCACAACACACTGCTTCAACAATGTCCAGGATCACTATATCTTAAAAAAAAAAAAAATGATAATAATAATAAAACAGGCACATCCCTTCAACTGTCTAAAGAGCCTTGTTTCTTGGGCTGCTCAGCTGCAAAAAGATCAGCTCATCTCCTTGGTTGAAGAGAGGGTAGGAGTCCAGGGTCACAGCCCCGACACAAGGAACTGCCACAAGGCCGTAGTTTTCTTGGTACCCCTTTGTGAGATAAGGGCTTAAAGGTGCTCAGTGTCACCAAATTATTGGCCAGGTGCCTTCTAACAGTAATCTGGCTGGCAGGTTTAAAGAACAGATTGGAAGATTTGCGAGTGTGCACAGGATGTGCTAACATCCACCTCCATCATTTAGTTGCCGGAGTTTCATTGCATTTCCAGAGTGGCAGGACATCTCTCTTCGAGAAGAGCTAAGGCGTATTGTAGTCACTTTCTATCAATCATGTCCAGAAAATAAAGCTGTGTTTTTTTCTTGCAAAGTACTTATTGATGCCTGTTTTCAACAATATCAGGGAAAACTGTACATTCTTGCACCTATAAGCATTTAAAGAGCAGATTGTTTGACAGTACCTAGGGGATTTGCTCTCCTAACAGGGTCCTGAGGGCATTGAAGTGTGTAAGGAGCCCCCAGTACTCATGCCAGCCAAAATGTTTTGTCTACTCAGCACTGAAAACAAAAACTCTGATGATATGCTGCTCTCCATGACAACTCCCTGTGCTCTCTCTGCTCTCCGTGACAACGCATGGTTCTTATGGAGCCGGTCCCTAAAAATGTGAAATTATGCACACACAGGAGTATTGCTGAGATCAGGGCCAGAGAACACTGCAGGGCTTTAAGGCAATTTCTTTCTTATTGGAGAAAACTCTGATTGTGAGAAATGGTCGAGCCCTGGGCAGCACTGAGCAGCTGTTTCAAGGCAAATTCAAATGCAATTTAGAAAGAATAGAAATAACTTCAGTACGGTTCAGCTTTTGTAAGATTCACAGTAAATCAAATCTTTGACAGCAGACAGCTGCAACATCTATTGATCAATGTTTTGAGAAAGAAAAAAAAAAAGAAAAAGAAAGAAAGTCATGGCTGTATTGATTGGCCATTTATCATATGAAATACATTTTAAAGAAAGCAGAAGAGACAAGCATATCCTTAGTGCCTGTGTTTGGGAAATGAACACCAGTTTCTCCAATGACCCCCGGCTTGTGCTAGAGCATGGTACATGCAGGCAGCACGACTGCCAGCACAGCCAGAAGCCCCAACATCTGAGCAGAGCACTTCCATCCACACATCTGCAATTTAAAATTTTGGTCCTCTGCCCCCATCTCTGAGCACTTGCTGTCACTGTTTTTTTGCCCATTATGGATCATAATTTGATTTCTTCATAGGCTGCCCTGGTCCAGCCACCCCAGCCCGTGTGTGCTGTGATGTGCTGCTCCAAGAGATTCACAGCTGCTCTTTTAGTAGAGGGAAAATGAGGGTGAAACATGGCAAAGAGAACAGAAACACAGGGTGAATTACCAAGTAGGAACACATCAGTTATCAACAAAAAAATTGCAATTTTTCAGCTGCAGTGTTATCGGTATTAAAATTTGCACACTTCTTTCCTTCCCGCTCTTCTTCCCAGTCCCTGGATAGTACAGCACCAACAAAACGTTTAAGAATGAGAGTAAGAAGCACAGAAAACAGCCTGGTGAATATAGACAAGTAACGCTGTTGTTTTTGTTTAATTTCCATATGCCCCTGAGACCTAGAAACAAATGACTTTGGCCCCTGCCATGTAGGCATGGTACAGACAAAAAAGTAAATTACTCTTACGTCATGAAGCTGTTCCTAGCAGCATCCAGAAGCCCTGCCATAGTGGAAGGGTATGGTATCACATGCATATTCAAAGCCATTTACCAAAGTAATGAAGAAAGGACAAGCAATACTTGCCATTGACTTGGAATTCCCGCTCCTGCTCAGCTGGGAATAGAAGCACAATTAATCAAAGTGCTTAAATAAGTTTCTCTCTGCCTTAATCAGCGCTGTACAAATAAATCATTTTTCAGTTCAGTAGCTGAACCAAAATAATAATAATTGTAGAAATATTTTGAAGTTGTCTGAAATGAAACTTCAGGCCTTCTCAAATATTTTCAGTGAGCAGAAATATTTGATTTAATTGAAACGAGATGGTGACTCTTCACTTTAATTGCTCTTTATTTATTTTAAACACACAGAGC